TGTAAGTATTAGAAAATATTTAGAAATAATTTGGGCATTTTCAATGAAAAAAAAATCATCTCTTTGCTTTTAAAAATACAGGAGATCTGGAAAATAGGACTTTTCCATTCATTACGCTCTCTGCTGCTCATGTTTCATACCTTTGTACTGATGATTCAGTCCTTCTCCATTACTTTATCAAAGCCGTGTTTCTAAAGTGTTAACAAGAAGAAACTTCGTGATCCTTAAAGCCCATGTATCACAAAGCATACCAAAGTTCACTACGTTATTAAGATCAATATATTCCACGTGTAGATAAGAGCTGAACTATTGTTCCTGTAATAACTAAGCATATAACCTGAAAAAGATTTTGCAGACTCTGATTTGCTTTAGAATCATAGAGTCGTAGAACCATTTAGGTTGGAAAAGACCTTTAAGATCATTGAGTCCAACTGTTAACCCAGCACTGCCAAGTCCACCACTAAACCATGTCCCTAAGCACCACATCTACCCATCTTTTAAATACCTCCAGGGATGGGGACTCCACCACTTCCCTGGGGCCTGTTCCACAGGGCCTGACTGCCCTTTTGGTGAAGAAATTTTTCCCAATATCCAATCTAAACCTCCCCTGGTGCAACTTGAGGCTATTTCTTCTCGTCCTATTGCGTGTTTCTTGGGAGAAGAGACTGACCCCCACCTCGCTACAGCCTCCTTTCAGGACATTCCTTTTTTTTTTGTTCCATTTACGAAACTAGGGTTTCCTGCATAAAAAAAAAAAAAAAAAAGCTGTAGAATGTATAATTTTCTGGTTTTTTTAATGCTAAAGACGTTTTATGTTAGGTGAGACATGCTCAGTGTTCGCTGTAACAGCACTTTATTAACGTCTGCAATACCTAGATACAGGATGTTTAATTTAATGAGTAAAAAGTCAACACTTTTCCAATTGAGGCCTTCAGAATCTTCTTGGGTTTTTTGCTTGGGTTTTGGTATAATATTGAGACAATATATTTATTAGGTTTTTAAAATACCTGTGTTCAAAATGAAATGGGATGTGCTTTAGAGAATATT